CCCACCAGTGGAATTTTCCCAACTCCTTTCTTTTGAGAGGACCTGAGCTGTCACATCAGTGGATGCAGGAATGATGGCAAACTCACAGTGGAGTCCCCTCTGCCATACACTCCCTGTTCCCCTCCCTCAAGCCCACAGAGTCTGGGAGCTCAGTTCTCCCTTACCTCAGAGAATATTTTGGAAACCACAAAGGGCTGTGGAGATGTGAATTTGTATTCATATTAGTAAGAATAATTCTGGAATTGGAGTAATAACCAGTTATGGAGGGTATTAGAACTTCACTCTTCCTTCCTGGATTCTACTTTCTCAAAAAGTCTTTCCAGCCCTCTCTATTGCTTCACATTCAGGATCTCAAAGGATTTAAGTACAAGGCCCATGATTATCACAGTCATCCCTTGAATTAACATTTTCTCATCTGAGTTCATTTCATCATTCCATCACCCTTAGGAAGCCAAGAGAATAGACCTGATTCTCCCTTTATGGGGGAGTAGGGAAGCTCAGTTCAAAAGTTAGGTAACTTGTCCAAGATGACACTGCCAGGTATAGGCTTGCCCAGAGCACGGAGGTTGTAGGTAGCCAGTGGGATGGTTCCAGAGAGCTTTTCCATTGTCCCAAGATGCCTCTCCTTTGTTCTCTTTGGGGTGTTCCTCACCCTTTTCAGATGATCTCTAGAATACACAGACCTCCATGTGGTCATTTGTCCATAATGCTGATTTCAGGCTGCCTGAACCTGGGGAGATCACTTATGGTCCCAGGCCTCCATTTTTCACTGCCTCAGGAAGTTCTCCTTCCTGTCCAACTTTAGTCCCTCTTGATCCTACCCAGAGTCTATTTCCTGTTTTTTAGTGATGCCTCTGGGAAGATGAAAAACAGATGGGCCTAAAGTCTCTGTATCTTTACCAAAGCACCAATCAGCTCAGAGAGGAGAATGAGCTTCCCTTCTCCCCAGACTCTATATTTGTTGCTGCTTGACTCAGTTTGTTCATGCCTTTCTCTCTCATTCTCTTTCTCCCTCTGCCCTCTAGGTCCCTTAGTCCTGACCTGACCTTCCTGCCTTCCTGCCCTGACAAGAACAAAGTCCACTTCAACCCGACTGGCTCTGCCTTCTGTCCTGTCAGTTTGGTGAAGCCCCTCTTCCCCAGTATGGGCTTCCTCTTCCGAAATTGCCCCACCACCCCAGGGTCCCCCTGTCCATCAACAGCTCCAAGTCCTTTCTTGACCTCTCCCCGAAAGGACCCCGATGCTCCCAAAGCTCCCCCGCTACCCTTCGAACCCTGGCAGCGCACTCCACCCTCTGAGGAGTCTGTGCTTTTCCAGAGTTCCCTGGTAGTTTGAGGGTCTTTCCTCCAACTCCTCCCACCTTACCATGCAGACCAGTGCCTTTATGGCTGGCTTCCCCCTCCCCTGGATGGAGACCAAGGATCCCATCCTCTCTTGGCCTTTGAGCATCTTCCTTTTATCACATCAAAATGCCCTGGTTCCTGTTTCTGTCAGGTACCAGCTCCTGGGAGGGGGAGGAAACTTGCCTTTTCCCTTGGGCTGGGCAGCTCACCACTCTTCAAGTCAGTGTTCTCATTCTTGATTCCCCTTGGAAGAGAAATGGCCATGGAAGCCTTGGTCCCTCCATCCCAAGCAAGTGAGTACAGACAACCCCATAGGAGATACTTATCCCTCTCAGCTGTCAAGGAAGCTGGTCCTGGCTCGGGGAGGGGGAAGAAGGGGCCTTGAAAGGATCCCTTCCCTTTCTCCTTCAGAGAAGAAAAGCCCAGGAGAGAAAACTCACTGCCTCCCCTCATTGCACCCCATCCCTTATGTGCATTCCCTCATCCACACCCTTCTCCTTGGAGGAGTTGATCCAAGTAATCCCAAAGCCGGGACCAGCCCAGCTGTGGGCAGAGAGGGGAATGCAGAGTGTTCCTGGTGACATTTTCATCTCGCCTTCATCCTGACTGAAGATTGTCGGGAGCTGTGGTCCAGCCTGCCTACCCCTGAAGGCAGGTGGGGGGCGGGGGGGAGGGAGAGCTGGTGCCTCCCCTTTGAGGCGAGGCACGATGACTGAATGTACGCTGCTGCCTACCCTCTTGCCTCTTCCAGGTTCAGGTTGGGTTTGAAAAATGCCTATTTTTCTTGTATTGATGTAGAAACTCTATTTTCTCCCAAAGACACTATTTTTGCAGCTGTTTGAAGTTTGTATATTTTCTGTACCGCAGAGCTTACACAGAGAAACTGAAGAGGAATGTTAATGTTGGAATTTCCTTGTCCTGTGTTTAAAGGTGGTTTTTTGTTTTTGTTTTTTGCAGATCTTGGTGTTAATAGTCCAAATAAATAAATATTCCCAGCGACCATAGGCCTGGTTGATTCTTCTGGAGGGTTGGGGGATCCTAGGGATAGAGGATCTTTTATCATCCTTCTCATCAAAGATTACATTCAAATTCAGGAACTGTGTACAAATTACCAGGCCTGGCAGGTGCAGACCTACAGAAGTCCACCTCTGTTGAAAATTATCTTTTCATTTCTATAACACTGGAGAACATGGCATGTAATGAACTCACCAGTCTCTTACCCCACACTACAAATAATGGAGGGAGGCACCATTCATTTAAGGCATGAAGGACTGGATAATTTCAACTCTGAGAGAATCTGCTCATTACACTTTAGAGGTTTGCTCATTCATAATTTTTGTCAAAAAGAGAAGGATATTATGAGTTAATAGAAGGCAGTGTAATTCAATGGAGGCAGAAGTCTTAGGTTCATTTCCCATCTCTGATGCTTTACCCCCTGTGGGACCTTGAGCAAGTCAGGTAACTTCCCTGAGCCTCACTTTCCCTATATGTAAAATGAGACTTAGACTAACTAGGCTCTGAGGTCCCTTTCAGTTGCTCTTTGCAGCTCACTTCCCTGTTGCCTTCCCTCACTAGAATGTAAGCCCCTTGAGAATAAGGGACTGTCTTACTTTCTTGTGTTTATTTCCTAGCACTTAGCACAGTAAACCTGGCACATAGTAAGCACTTAAGAAATGCCTTATGGTCCAACTATGTGCCAAACACTGCCAAGTGCTGAGGGAATTAGGGTTTAGATAAGATACTGTAGTTTCTATCCTCATGGAATTTAGTCTGGGAGGGCATAGTACTCCCAGATAACTGTAATACACAGTATTACATGCTTTCCAGGGATGATGAACAAAGTTTACTCTGTAAGAAAGAAGGGGGAAAGTTCTGAGAGGATAATCATGGAAAGCTTTCAATTGGGCTTTAAAAGGTGGGCATTCAGTAAGTATTGAGAGGGATGACATTCCAGGCATAGAAAAGCAACAAAAGCAGAGGCTGGGAAGCCTGGTGCATAATCAGAGACTGGATCAAGTCCAGTTTGGCTTTGAGCTTAAGCACTACTAGTGTGGCCGTATTTTGGGACCCATAGAATTCTTGCCTAGAGAAAACAAATAGATAGATGAAGCCAGTCATATAAAGAGACGGTGATATATGTCTTATCAGCCATACTGGAGTAGGCTGAGGTCTAGGAAGGCTCCCTAAAGAAGAAGAGACTTCTGGGGCTAGTGGACTGACAAATGATAGGTTGGTGTATGTTGAAATGCGGACTGTCCAGGAAAACTGGGTAGGATTTGAGTTTACTTAAATAGTTTTACAAATAGGAGGTCAAACTGTGAGATTAAGTAAAAATCTCGACTAGATAAATCAATAGTTCCCTCCTTTCTTGTATTTGTAAAATCAGCCAGAGGGAGAAGGCAGATTTTCCCACACTCATAGGCTGCTTAATCCTGTCATCTTACTCTTATCTTTCAAATTCTGTGGGGTAGAGGGGATAAACTACTCCTTATTCCAGTAATTTGTATTTCACCTGTGGAACACTTTGCAAAGATGGAAGCCAAATTCATTGAGAGTGAACAAGCAAAACAGCAAATGATTGCAGAGAGGTCCCTTGGTGGGGGGAAAGGGGGGGAGCAGGAAGAATGGGCTGCCTCCCTTTGCTCTTGAAAAATAAAATGACACCATGCTCTAAATCTTCAGTGCAAGTCAGGCCTAAAGTCATGGGTGTGGTGCTGCCCAGTGTTTCCTTCCTTTGGTTGAGATGATGCCAAAGGAGGAGGCGGCTACAAGTGGAGAAACCTTTATGGGGCTGCAGTGGCTCTCAGCCCAACAGACTGTCTGAGGTTTACATCAACTGAAAATGTGTGTGGTTGGGGGATGGGGTTGCTCTGCAAGAGCTGCTCTCTCTGACCCTTCACCTGAATGTCCCCAAATGGAAGCTTATTTGGGGAGGATTCTACAAAGAGGCTAGTGGAAAGGGAGCCAGAAAGCTCACTTGGGCAGCAGTCATGGGGACCAGGCAGGCAAGCACTGGGTTTTACAATCCTGGTCTGTTTCATGATCCTGAACCTCTTCTCTTCCTCCAAGGGATTATGGGCAAATAAGTGAGAAAGTGCTTTGAGGTCTGAGTAACAATTACATTTGCAACTACAGGCCATTTCTCAGTCACCACAGTGCTTTCCCATGCCTTACCACATTTGGTCCTTATAACAATCCTGTGCTTCAGGAAGGGCAGGCTTTATTAATACCCAATTTACAGATGGGGAAACTGAGGACCAAAAGGTTGAAAGGTTGTATGGCTAGTTAGTGGAGCCATGTCTTTTTGATTTTTTACTCAACCTCCCAGCTGTCCCCCCCTGGAGGACTACTGCTAGGCCAGAGCAGGAGAGGCTACCCCCTAGGTCTCAACACTTGCCTCGCCTAAGGATAGGGAATCCAATGGGGCTGACTGGTAAGGCTGTGGACACTAGAGGGCGCCACAGCGTTCACAAACTCAAAAGCTGTAGGGGCGGGTAAGCGCTAGGATCCAGGGGAAGCCTGGAAGAAGGCTATTTTGATCCGCTCTATCTCCCCGATTCTCCGCCCCCTACCTCCGGCAGCCTTTCAATAACGTGGCCAATCGGCGGGCTCCACATCCAGTTACGTCACCTTAGGACGCCCCCGCTCCTCAAGGTCCCCCACCGGGTTCTTGATGGGGCTGCCCCTGAGATCGCCTTGTTGAAAAGACTCAAGATTGTAGCTTTTCCCGTGGCGATCTAGGTGTCCCGGGCCATCGAGAAAGACGTCAAGGCTCGGAGGTGCGTCTTCCTCGGTGAAGCATGTCGCGAGACCCCGCAGGCACTTCCTCCTCCGCCTCCCGGGTCTGGCTGCTGCGAAGATAGCCGCGGGGCCTTGCGGCGCCGGCAGTCGCAGGCTACCCTTATGAGAGCCCCGTCGCCGGTGTGCGATGTCCGGCTGGAGCTGCCGCTGCCCGCGCCGCCACCGCCGCCGTCATCCCTGGGGAGTCTGAGTGAGGCTCGCGCCGGCCCGGCCCCGCGCCTCATGGCCGCCAGCGGCGCCCTGGTGCCCGATCGGCTGCGCCTGCCGCTCTGCTTCTTCGGCGTCTTCATCTGCTACTTCTATTACGGGATTCTGCAGGAGAAGATGTGAGCGCCCCCGACCCGGACCCCGCCCTCGGGGCCCTCAGGCCCGGCCAGATTCCCCGGAGGCTATGCCCCACCCCCACCCCCAGCTGGCGGGGCTTCCCGCCTGCGCCCCTGCTCCACCGACCCGGGCTCCCCGCGACCACTTCATCCCTGGACACTGCCCTCCTCGGGGTTCGGGGCCACCCCTGACCCTCCACGCCTTCCGTGACAGGAGGGAATGACAGCCAAGCCCCCCAGCGGGGAGGGGGAGGGGCGGGGGTGGGTGCAAAGAGTCAGTTGATAACAATAACAATGGCTAGCAAGGGGTAAGGTTTGCAAAGCGCTTTACAAATGTATCTCATTGATTCCCTATCGGAATCCTGGATGGTATTATTATTATCCCCGTTTTACAGATGAGGAAACTGAGGCTGGGAGCCGTTAAGGGAATTGCCCAAGGTCATGCAGCTAGTTTAAGTGTGGGAGGTTGGATTTGAACTCAGGTCTCCAGAACTTCAGGTTCAGGTGCTTTGAGCACCGTGTTGTGGGTGGGTAGGGAAGTAAGTAAAGCATTTACTGGAGACTCACCCCACCTCCCGCCTTTGTTTTAAGGTTATGTCTTGAGTAAGTGGCAAAAGGGAGTCTTGAACTCCGATCTTCATACTGCTGAGGCCAAGACTCATGCCGGCACTGCCCAAAACCAGTGATCATCTTGGGGTCGTTCTCCCAGTTTGCCCAGGAGAGGTGACTTGTTGGGAGTGCTAAACCTTGGAGTCAGGAAGGCCCAGGCTAAATTTCATTTCGGGCTTACTAGCTACCTGACCATAAGCAAGGAGTTTAATTTCTCTAAGTCTTGATTTCCTCATTTGTGAAATGGGAATAATAATAATAATAGCATCTGCTTGGGGGGGGTTGTAAGAAGCCAATGAGATGTCTGTAAAGTGCATTGCAAACTTTTGAGCACCGTATTAATATCAGCTGCTCTCAAAATCATTCTTATTTCTTTTTTCCTCCTGTTACCTTTTCAGCACGAGGGGAAAATATGGAGAGGGTGCCAAACAAGAGAAGTTCACATTTGCCTTAACCTTGGTCTTTATCCAGTGTGTGGTCAATGCGGTATTTGCCAAGATCTGTGAGTACTTAATCTGGGAGAGACACCACCGCTCAGGCCCTGAGTGCTGGGTGATCTCTGCCTGGCCCCATAGGGTTTTTAAAGCCCATGGTGATGCTCTCCCAGTCCTAGAACCCACTGATTTGTTTGGGATTCCTTAGACAAATTCTTTGTCAGAAGTAAGAAAGGAAGAAAGTAGGCATCCTGTGTATTTTACACCATTGCTGAAGATGTTAGTTATTTCTTTGCTCTCACTCTTCTTTCTTTATCAACTTCAGGAATTTGTTGACCCAGTTGGTTTAAATGATTTTCCCTCTTAGAGCCACCCCTACCTGTCTTCTCTCTCTTCCCTCTCTCACCCTCACCCCTTCTACTATTGTAGGATTAATTGTTCAGTGTAATTGGGACAGAATATCCTCTGGGAAATAAATAGCCCATGGCTGGGCCCTGAGAGTAGACTTAGAGAAAAGGAAACACATAGTCCCTTAGAAAGTTTCTGTTTTAATGAGAGTAGAAACTGTTCCTGTCCTTTGGGAGCTTCCTGTCTTAATGAAGAAACATTTCTTTCAGAATTTCCATGCCTCTCTGCCCTGTGGTCAGTCCTAGCCCTCCCAGGCTTCTCTTGTATGTTTTTTTGTCTTCTCCCAGTGATCCAGTTTTTTGACACTGCCAGGGTGGATCGGACCAGGAGCTGGCTCTATGCAGCCTGCTCTTTCTCTTACCTGGGTGCCATGGTCTCCAGCAACTCTGCATTACAGTTTGTCAACTATCCAACTCAGGTGAAACTTCAGGGAATGGTACATGGGTTGGAGGGGTAGCCCAGAGCAGATGCTTAGGTTTTTACAACCTAAGAGCTCTTTCCTTAGATTTGCATCTCTACAATGAAAAAGAATAGTCTTGACGTGAGGCTACAGGGGTCAGACTCAGTGAAAGAAGGAGATTTTGATCAGAAGTAACAGTTGAAAAGTGAGCAAAAAACTGAAATGTTAGCAGCATCTGAGTTAAACGGTGATAGAATTTAATCATTTGTACCTTCCATCCTTTTTTTAAGGTCCTTGGCAAATCCTGTAAACCTATTCCAGGTAAGCAATGTTGGATTTTCCCATTCTTATTCCCTCTCTGGCTTGCAGCTACATCTTGGGTCTTTTATGATCCCAACTTTCCATCTCCCTCTTCTCCTGTCATTTAACTCCACCCTGCCCTGTGACTTCTGCTGTCCCACTCAAGAGGTTCTGCCTTTAGATTATATTAAATATGATTTCTCATATTAAAATTCAAGATATTCTCCTTTCTCTGAGCCCCCAGCACACATTATTTATATTTCTGTTGTTTTGAATAACCATGAATTGGCATTCTGGGTTCATTCCTCATGGAATCTGGGGGCTGGAGACTGGAGGTTCTTTCAGATAATTATATTAGAATTACATATTTATTTTTATATTATATTAGAATGATATATCTGTCAGATGCCAGTAGACAACTTACTATAGTACTTTGCTTTTCCCTTCCCTCCAAGACCCTATGCTATTCCTTTTTATTCAGTTCACCTTTGCTCTTTCTCTCCAGCCTGTTATGCCCTTTGCTTTGCTCAGTCATATTACTTAATTAGCCCTTTCTCCACACCAGCCCTAGGACCTTCTCCTCATTCCCCTGGTGCCCTTTCCTTTAGATAACACCTTTCTGCAATGAGATCTTCAGCTCCTTCCTGTCTCCTGGGAAGGTAGCTGACTCTCTGGTTCTGCTTCCTCTTGGCAGTTATGCTCCTTGGAGTGACCCTCCTGAGGAAGAAATACCCGGTGGCTAAATACCTCTGTGTGCTCTTAATAGTGGCTGGAGTGGCCCTCTTCATGTACAAGCCCAAAAAAGGGGTTGGAGCTGATGAGCATTTGGTTGGCTATGGAGAGCTACTTCTGGTATGAAGTTACTGATGGGAGAGTTGTAACATTCTTTGTTCTGAAACACTCAAGGTCTTTTCCCCTAGCAAGGATCCTTACCCCACTGAGGCTGTTGGGGAAGGCCTGGGTATTGAGTTGCCTCTCCTTCCCCAGAGGGTGCATGTGAGGTTTATAGCCAAAGACAGTCAGCTTTGTGTCAAGAAGCTTCCTGCTAACTCCGGGACCCTATAGCAGGATATAACTAGAGATTATGCTGTAAAATCCCCAAAGTCCAAGGATTGGGGAGAGGGAAAGAAGAAATACCTCTTTCGGTTCTTCCACACCTGGGTTCTGAGAACCCTAGAAACAGGAAGAATGCTGTTATGTTCTGAGTCAGGGTTGGCTTTCTCTACTTTAACCCTTACTTGTCAGCCTCAGGTGTAGTGTGTAAGTATTAGTGGGGAGGGAAGTTGCCTGTTTCTCTGGAAAGTGCTAAATCACCCATCCCACAGATTACCCCACTGCCCTGGAGGTTGGCTAAGAATGAAGCATGATTTGCATGACTAAAGAGCTGAGATGGGGCATCTGTTGAAGCAGCCTGGCAAGGTGGACAGGGCCCTGAACTTGGAGCCAGGAAGAACTGGACTCAAATCCTGCCTCCTGGGCAAGTCACTTAACTGCCCTGGGCCTCAGTTTCCTTATTGTCAAATGAGGGGGTTGGACTCAGTGATCCCTTGGGTCCCCTCCTGCTGTATGTTTATGATGCTGTGAACCATGGCCTCTGCCTTAAGACAGCTGTTCTCAGAGAAGTCCCGAGGGGGAGAGCCATGCCTTCCCTGGGGCTTGGAGCTTTGCTGACCCTCTCCCCTCATGCTGCTCCCTCCATTTCTCAGCTGCTGTCTCTGACACTGGATGGACTGACAGGTGTCTCCCAGGATCACATGCGAGCTCATTACCAAACAGGCTCTAACCACATGATGCTGAACATAAACCTCTGGTCCACATTGCTCTTGGGAGCTGGTAAGAAGCCAGTTCCGCTGTTCCCACCATTTGCCCCTGGATTGGCAGGCTCTCCTGATGTAGGTCAGCCACAGACTCACCTTCCTAATGAAAGCCAGCCTTGGCCTCGAGATGTCGTATATCAGAGACCCTGAATTACGGAGAAACCCCTTCCATTCCCATCACCTTTTCACTGCTTGTTACCTGTATTCAGCACATTGAGTTAGCAGGCGTTGATCGGGCACATGCTATGTGCAGAGCCCTAGGCAAGGTGTCCAGAGAAGACAGAAGGTTGAGAGGAGATTTCAGTCTTGAGTGGGGAGACAGCCTGCCTTCAAGAAGCATATAGTCTACCAGGGGAAGGAAGAAGCAAATGTAAATTTAACCCAGTTCTTCATACTGTGTTCTGCTATCTGGTTGCTTGAACGGGATTAACTAGTTAACTGTCAAGGTTTGAGATTCTGATTTATCCAGTCAAGAAAAGTCAAGAGACAGAACAGGGAAAGGTGCATGGTGGGACAAGAATAATTCCAAGCCCTAAGTTCTTCTTTGCTCCATATGCTTTCTTTCCCAACCCTAATTCTCCAGAGAGCTGAGTGACCCTCGAGGGGTTCAGGCTTCCTGGTATATGTGTGGGAGAGGATCCCAGCTCCTTCCTTACGTCACCTTGGGTGTCTTATTGCTTCCACCCTCAGGAATCCTGTTCACTGGGGAATTCTGGGACTTCCTTAGCTTTGCCGATCGATATCCCAGCATCCTTTACAACATCCTTCTGTTTGGCCTGACCAGTGCCCTGGGCCAGGTGAGTCCCCCAGAATGAAGCTTGTCCAGGGCAGGAGTGGTCACATTACCCATAAACTTCCATGGTGCTTATTTTTTTGGAAGGCTTAAAGTCTTGGAATCAAATGCCTGTCCTTGGCCTGAACCTGTCTCTCTGTGTTTCCCTCTCCAGAGCTTTATTTTCATGACAGTTGTGTATTTTGGTCCTCTGACCTGCTCCATCATCACCACAACCCGCAAGTTCTTCACCATCTTGGCATCTGTGATCCTCTTTGCTAACCCTATCAGCCCCATGCAGTGGGTGGGCACTGTGCTGGTGTTCATGGGTGAGTTTTTTTGGCTGGGCCCTGGCAGTGGCTTAAGCTTTAAGCCTGATGGGTGCTATTTTGAAGGCACATCTTAGTGTGGGGGGAATTTTTTGTTTTAAGACTATGTCAGGACAGCTAGGTGGCGCAGTGGATAGAGCACCAGCCCTGAAGTCAGGAGGACCTGAGTTCAAATCCGGCCTCAGACCCAACACTTGACACTTACTAGCTGTGTGACCTTGGGCAAGTCACTTAACCCCAATTGCCTAAAAGCCAAAAAAAAAAAAAAAAGACTACATCTTCCTCTTTTACTCAGGTTGGAAATGCATTGGCCATTAATGGGCCTGATCCTAATACTGATTGGCATGGAAACTTGAACCTGTTGTAGTTTTTCTAGCCCGGGCTGTTCATGTCTCCTCAAGCACCCAGGGGCTCACTTCTTCGGGGCTGGACTTAGTGCCAGTTTTGATTTTCATTAGCCTCCCAGAGAGAAGTGATCCACCGGTCTGCTTCCCCAGCAGCAGTGACTACAGATCTGCACCTCCCCGTCCAGTGGGGAAATACATTTAGTTACTGATTTTCTTACATCTGATTAATTTAGCCTAGCCTTGGTCTGAGTCAAAGCAGCTTTCAAGTTGATACCAAGTAGCTTTTGACCCTCCTACATTTTGCCAGTATTTTCCATGCTTTTCTGTATTTTAGGATTGTTTTAAGTTGTCACCTGAGCATGGCTTGTGCTCCCAAGGAAGGTTTGATGCCAGTGTTGTGCATTCCATTTTATTTAAAGCCTCTGGTTTCTTTTGAGCCTTGCCTAATTTATTTCACATCCTGAACATGTGTAGACCTATAGGGCTGGTCTTGAGGCCTATCTCCTCAGACTTTACAAATTCCCTTAGGGAAGCTAAGTTCATCTCTCTCTCTCTCTCTCTCTCTCTCTCTCTCTCTCTCTCTCTCTCTCTCTCTCTCTCTCTCTCTCTCTCTCTCTCTCTCTCTCTCTCTCTCTCTGTCTCTCTCTGTCTCTCTCTCTCTTTCTCTCTCCCCCTGTCTCCCTCCACAGGTCTTGGCTTGGATGCAAAGTTTGGCAAAAGTTCGAAGAAGACGTCCCTCTAGGAAGATCCTGGGATTCACTACAAGGCTATTTAACTTATTTTCTCAAATCTCAACATCTCCTTGAAAACTGGACTCAACAAGGGGAGAGGGAGGGTTCTAGGTTTTTTTGTTTTTTTAAGAAAGAAATCATAGGTTCTAAAAAAGTAATATTGTTGGGTTTTGTTTTGTTTTTTTTTAAACAGGAATGAGTAATGACTTTTGTTTGTGATAAGATGGAGGGGGGCAGTAACCTAGCCTGCCTCAATAAAAAAGAAGAGGGATATTTTGATCATTTTCCCAGGTTTCTTCCTCTGTCTTGGTCTGATTGAATTGCTAGCAGTGTGAAAATTGGGGGGGGGGTAGGGATTTTGAGAGTTCAGCGGCTCTAGCCAGTCCCTTCTCTTTAAGTGAGGACTTGTCTACTGTCAGACATCTCTGGAGAAACTCTCAAAATAACCACTTCAGAGAGTTCGTTCTCCAATATATCTTTCTGGTGTCCGAGAAGTTCTTAGCTAGAGTAAAAGCAACTGTTATCTCCTTGTGGATTTTTCTCTTGTTGTGATAGGGGTGAAATGCGTCCATAGCTGCAGTACTTGTTGTGAATTTGATATTTCTGACACCTCTCTCCCCAAAGAGAGAAGACGACTTTCCAAAATGGAAACCCAGCCTGTGTGGGAAGGGAGTTGGGAAGGTGTATGAATGTACTTTTTCCTGCTTACCTCCTTTGCTCTCTCCTACTTTTAGTCCACCTACTTTCCACCTCTTACCCCCCCTTCTCCCCCCCCCCCGGGATGCAGGGAGGTAGGGAGAACAGCAGGATTCGTTCTTCCTCTTCCTCTATTCTCCGTAACTGTTAAAGATTCACAGCCCTCTGTCACACAGTCCTCTGCCAAGGTGCCACAGTGCCAGCTTCTGCCTGCTGAAGGGGGCACTCGCAAAAAGCCCTGGCATGTTGCCCCAGCTGAAGTTTTGTTGTGAGTGTGTATGTGTGTGTAGGAGAGCCTCCCGCCCAGTGCTGTCTTCAAAGTTGGAGAGCGCAATCCTCCAAAGAGCAAACTTTACACATGAAAGTGCATTTTCACCAGCTGCCTCTCTGACTCCATCTGTTCAGCAGCCCCAGCCCCTTGGCTCTCCAGATGGGAGCCCAGCCTCCTTCCTGAGCGGTGGCTTCACCTCCCCCTAGCCAACCTTTCAAGCCCTGGTTCGGATTTCATTAATCTCCCTCCCTGGGCAGGGAAGGGGTGTTTCTGTAGTTTTGTCCCAAAGGGCTTCTTTCCCTTTAAACTCCACCTCCTTGGAAGAAGAGTTGTAGTGTACATCTGCTCGCATCTTGCTCTTCGCCACCTTCCCCCTTTTTCCTTCTTCCTCAGCTCTCTTCATTCAGAAAGCTTGCATCAATTAGCTCTCTTCCTCCTGGGAAAGATCCTTTCCAAACCTAGCTTCTCCAATGGGTTATCCTAGATGGGGAGGGCATGTTGTTAACAAGGCTTCAGTCTTTGATTTGGTTGCCACCTAGACGAGTTAGCTCACCACCAAGAAAAACTGGCTGCCTAAAAAAATCCCCACTGTTGGTCACTGGGGTACCAGGCAAGAGTGTGGATGGCTCAACATGATCTCCCCTTGCTACTGGAGGACAGCTCATAGCATGCATCAAATTAAGATGGAATAGGAGTACCAGCTATATTCTATGAGAGAGACAAACATGGTGGCTTGGGCTGGTTCAAAGGGATGGGAGGAGGACGTATTTTACATTCCACAAATGAAAAAGGAAGAAGAGAGAACTGATGTGGATTCTCTCGACCAGACTTCTCCAGGAGTCTAGAGCAGTCCAGCCCTAGACTTGGGAGTCAGGACCTGGGTTCAGATCCTAGTTGGGTGACCCTTGGGGAGTAATTTAACTTCTTTGACTTTGCTGTGTCCTTTTGAAAATGAGGGCGTGAACTCAGTTTCTAAGATCCCTTCTAACTCTAAATCTGTGATCCAGTTTGGGGACTGAGTTTTGTGAACCACGGGGGCTTGCTCAGAGCAATCGCAGAAAACATTGATTGTCTGCCCTTTCTTATTTCAGGAGAGCAGAGTGGCTCATGGGTCATTGTAGCAAAGTTCTGTTTTGCTACCAGAAAATTGTGCCCTTAATTTGGTCAGAGTCTGTTTACTCTTCATGGAGCAGGCCTTGAATGCTAAGCAGTCTGGGTCAGAGATCCGTGCTCAGCCAGCTCCAAGAGGTATCAAGACTTAAGGCCTCAAATTTGCAAATCAAAAACACTTTCACCCCTCTCTAGGCAAGGAGGGAACCCAAGGCACTAAAGTTAATCTTTAATCTGATGGTTTGTTGTGGGTAAGCTGTGTGGATTCCCCCACTCATCCCCCTGCTTTTCTGATTATGATTAGTGTTGAAGTGAGTATTATTACAGCCTTGGTCTTAGGGGTGTTGGCAGGGAGACAAGATCTGCAAATAGCAACTGATAACCTATAAAGGTGATAATTGAAAACCACATAGTATTCTTTGCTCTAACGTCCCTTCAGGGTAGGGAGGAGTTGGCTTGGTTGTGTCCCTTTTGCAGATGAAGAAACTGAGACCCAGAAAATGTAAGTCATTTTCTCAAGGTCAGTGGAAAAGCAGGGATTAGAATTTAGGACTTGTGACTCCCGGTTCAGCATTCACAGTAAGTGTCTTTCTTCCATGGTGGTCAGACACCCAGAATGACATTGTATGCCCTTCACCATCTTCCCTAGTGTTCTGCCTTCCCACTTCCTTTGGACTTGATTAATCAGCTTTTTACATTTTATGAGCTACAACTGGTCACTTGCCTCAAATGCCCTGGCAGAAAAACAGTCCTGGGCCTCTGCAAGATCATCCAGTCCTCCCTACTGGGAGAATACCATCTGTCTCTAGGAGTAATAATCTTTGCATTTTAGAGCTCTCTTGTGAGAGCACTGTGGTATTTAGCATCTTGTTTTATCCTCACAACATCCATAAGAACAGAGAACATCCATCAGTGAAAGGAATTTCCACACTAGGAAGTACCCACAGTAACTTAACCAAATCACAGAACTTTGACTTTTCCATGCCCCTCCCTCCCCCAATAAAATGATGCTGATGAGAAGTGGGTACCCAGCACTGAATGATTCTCCCCGTGTGACATGGGGGAATAGAGCAGAAAAGGTAAATAATGTACCAAGGTCACACAGTTAATTGCAGAGCAGACATTAGAAGCTACTTCTTTAATGAAAGGTAATTTTTTGTGTATGAAGTTAGCCACTTCTTCAGCTCTGAGTAGCCTTTAGTGCTTCTGAGTGATGCTGTTAGCTCTCAAACGTGTAGGAGAGAAGGGGGAAAGGGAGATTGAAGAAAGGATGTAAAAGAAAGGCAGTGTATGTGGTATGTGGGTGAATGGCTTCTCTAAGGCTAAGCCAGCTCTGTACAAGGAGATCCCACTAAGCCAGGAAGCCTTCAAGTATGTCTTGGCTGAGGACCAGCTTAGCTAAATTTAGGGATGCTCTGATCACCAGGTTGGTTGCAGGTGATGAATTTTGGGACCACAACAACTCTTAAGACCACTTAAGCCCTAGAGAACTTGGAATCAACAAGTAGTCATTAAAATCTACTATGTGGTTAGAGAGTGGAAATGCAAAAGTGAGACAGCCCCTGCTTTTCCACAGCTTCTATTGTTAGGAAAGCAGGGGCCTGACCTTTGTTTGTCCTGGACCCCTCTGGTGGTCTGGTGGAGCCTAAGGACCCTTTCTCAGGATGATGCTTTCAAACACATAAGGTACATAGGATTACAAAGGAAACTGATTATAAGTTATTAGATTAGATTGAAATAGTTATTAAGTGTTTTAAATATATATTTTTAAATAGATGTAAATATACATATACACATATATGTGGGTTGTTTTTTTTTAAGTTTGGACCCCAGGTTAAGATGTACAAGCATGATATATTATGTTTGTATAAGTAAATGCAACATATAAATGAAATACAGAGTGATGGGGAAGGGGAATAGAACAGTAACATCTGGGCCAGTTCAGAAAGACTCTTTGAAGGAGGCAGAGCCATGAAAGGAGGTAAAGGTTCCAAGAGATGAAGACGGAGAGCACTCCGGATGCAGAGGGAAGGGCATGACAGAGGATGGAACATAAATGTTTGTGTATGTATATGTGTGTGCCTATATGCAGGTATACATATGTGTGCATACAGAGGGCTAGTCATTGCAAAGGCACGAAGGCAGAGGATGTGTGTGTGTGTGTGTGTGTATGTATGTATGTGGGCATGCGCAGGTATGCAAATGTGCGACATACACGCACACAGACATGCATGTGTGTGCATGTGCACGTGCGCGCGCGCGCACACACACACACACACACATGTAAACATGCATATGCAACAAGCAGGCTGGTTTGGCTGAAGCATGAGCCTGGAACGTTGGACTGCAGCCAGGTTATGAAGAGCTTTAAATTCCAAACAGGAGTTTGTATTTGGTCCTGTAGTCGAGGGGAGCTGCTGAAGCTTCTTCCGCAGAGTGAAACGGTCAGACCTGTGCTTTAGGAATATCAATTTGCCAGCTTTGTAGAGGCTGGATTTGAAAGGGGAGAAACGATGCAGGGAGACCAATAAGGAGGCTAATCAATCAGTACATAAAACATGTCTGCCCAGCAGTGTGCTAGTCCATAAGCATACAAAGACAAAAGCTGTCTCAGTGGCCTTTAAGGTCCCTTCTTGCTCTAAAATTATAATCCCGTCCTCAAGGCGCTTACCCCCTATTGGGGGAAGTATAAATGTATAAGAGTAAACAAAGGTTATTCTTGAACTCTTCCTGTGTTCAAATCAGCCCTTAAGACACTTGCTAGCTGTGTGACCCTGGGCAAATCACTTAACCCCGTTTGCCTCAGTTTCCTCATCTGTCAAATGAGCTGGAGAAGGAAATCCAAACCACACCAGTATGTTTGTCAAGGCAACCCCAAAAGGGGTCATGAAGAGTCAAACACGACTGAAAAATGGCAACATTCTAGGCACAAGAAAACAATCATGAGGAGTGGCAAGACTGCCCATTTGGACATGAATATGTAATGAGCCTGGAAAGGTATTTTGGAGCCAGGTTGTGAGGGTCTTTAAATGCCCAATAAAATAGTTGGTATCTGATCCTAGGGAACCAGTGGACTTTTCTTGAGCAGGGGAGTGTCATGATCATACCTTGGCTTTAAAAATATCACCTTGCCTTGGTGTGGAGGATGAATTAATTGGAGACTAATGTAAGAGGGGACAAGGGTCTAAACAAGGGTAGTGGCCACAT